CCTGCTGAACCACTGCCCCCGAGAAGCCCTTGCTGAAGCCCTGGCAACCGTGGAGGCCGCCGTCTCCTCCAACACAGGTTGCCCTTCTGCCCCATGACTCACGCCTCATGCTGGTCCTCGCTGCGCCCATTCCTTCCCCTCACCTCAGGGGACACAGAGCCTTAGAGGTGTGGAGCTGCCCTGCCAAGTGAGGGCTCTGCATCCTCTGGACCCTGCACCGCCCTGGACCCTGGGCTGGGCTAGCTGAGGCCCCGCTGGGCCAGGACAGCCGCGCAGGGCCGCCTGTGAGCCGTGGGGTGCCTGAAGCACTGGGGGAGCCGGGCTCCACCCAGAGGAGCAGCAGGGAGGTGCACCCTGGCTTGGGAGACCCTCTCTGTCCCTCCGCGGTGCCCTCAAGGTCTCCATCCCAGCAGAATGTAGGAGGCCGGGATCCCACCTCAAAACAGGAGCCCTAGAGATGGGAGGGTGGCCCTAGCAAGTAGTTCAATCTCCCTGAGCCTCAGCCCTAAAGTAGAGATAAAAATAACATCTCCTTCAGGCGGTGGGGTGACTATTAACTAGCACACGTGTGAGAACCTTAGCTATGATTCTGGTTATCGGCTTTGGCTACCCTATACCACGGAAGTAAAAGGTCACAGCCCAAAGTTTTCCACAGGTGGCAGGGCACTTGGGACCAACAAGTGAGAAGCAACAGCAGGGGCCCAGCTCGCTCACTAAGGACGCCTGAGGCAGTGGTGTCCCCCCCACCCATGCATGTCCTTTCCCAAACTGTCCCCAGCAGGGCACCAAAGGCTGGGACTCAGAGGCATGTCCAGCCAGAGCAGATGGAGACTAAACCAATTCCTTGCCAGGCCCAGGGCGCCAGGACGTCACAGGAGATGAGTTCTTGTGCCAGCCCTTCTGTTTCCCAAGAACAAGTAGGCCACAGGAATGAGCCACACCCTCTGCCAAGGGGCCCCAAAGCCCCTGGAAGTATAGCTCCCAGCCTGGTGACATGGTCCAGGGCCAAAGTGGGCCCCTGTGCAGTGCCAGGTGTGCTGTGGTCCCCACAGCAGCCAGGAGAGTGGAATCCCATGGGAGCCCTGGCTGAGGGTCCTCTCTCTCCCACCCAGGGATGTGCACGCCGGCTCTCGGGATTCCACAGCTTGGGTACAAGGCCAGAGGAAGGGGTGGATTACTGGCACCAGGAGAGGCTGCTGCACAGCAGCCTGCAGCCTCTTCCGGTCCCTTAGAAAAGACCTTCTGACCCAAAGAAGGGTGCCCCTACACTGATCGCTGGAGTTTCACTTGTGTCAGGAGGCTGGGTGGGAGCGGTGGGCACCATGCGAGGGGTGGGGGCCCAGGGCAGGGCCTCCACGCTCCTTCTTGCCTTCTTCGTGCAAACCCCTGGGGGTGGGTGGACTCAGCCCAGTAGCGGGGCTCGGCGCTTGGAGACAGTCGGAGAGATGCAGCCCACCCGCCCGCGGCGAGCAGAGATCAGGGCGGGCAGCTCCATGCTGCTCTGCGCCGAGCCTCAGTTTCCCCAGACCCACGAGGCACCGGCCAGCGCCCCTGACAACACTTTTCCTGCCCGGAAAAGTCCAGAACAACTTGGGGGCGGGGAGCTGCTACGGGAGGAGACCCCGGGCGGCGGGCGCTGTACGCGTGGCACTGTTTACGCGAGAGGCCGAGGAGGCGCGGCCCGCGGGAAGATGGCGACGGCGCGGGCGGGGCCGGCCGGGCGGGCGGGGCTGCCGCGGCCCGGACGCGCCTCCTCCTCCAGGCTGGCCGCCGGGGCGC